CCTTCACCAAGCTTGAGTGACTTTCGAAGAAGTCTCGAGCGAGAGCGTCGTTCCTGAGTTCGGAGGCCTCTCTGGCCAGGGCGTCTTCGGCCAAATTGCGAGGACGTGTCGTGCGGGAGCTGTGCTGGACTTTTACAAACTTGATGGATTTGCGAGGAAGTCTTGAGCGAGAGCGCCGTTCCTCAGGTCCGGGGCCTCTCTCTGGCCAGGGCGTCCTGGGCGTCCTGGGTTAAAGTTCGGGGGCGGCAGAGAGGGGGGTGACGACTAGGGGTGTGTGGATATCATGGCGTGGGCTATGAGATTTCACCAGATTTCATGGCGCCTCTTTTTATTTTAGTACGTCCCCCCCCTGGGCCGTGCACATGCCGCCGGCCATGACTTGCACCCCCTCCCCTCGGACGCCCCCCTCTTGGCCGCCCCCGAAAAGTAGGAGGAGCAATCGAGCGGGAGCCGTTGTCGTCGTAGCCGGGTTTTTTACGGGGCCACATTTGGAGCCGAGCCCGCGCGCTCGAGCGGGAGTGTTTTTTTTGTTCCCAACCATCCTGCGGTGTTGGGTCCTCGTTTTGAAGAGACGGTGCCGCGCGTCTCCTCCTTCCTCTCCTCCTCCTCCTCCTTCTCCTCCTCCTCCTCGTCTCTCCTCCCTGCGTTCCACCCATCCAGTACAGCGCTTCGTGGCCGCATAGGGAGCTCCACCGAAGGCGCAAGTGGCAGGGTTCGCATGGCGGCCTCGGGCCATTTCGGCACACCCCTCACAAGGATCGTTGCCCCATAGGGAGCTCCACCAAAGGCTCCAGTGGCAGGGTTCCCAGTGGCAGGGTTCGCATGGCGGCCTCGGGCCATTTCGGCACACCCCTCACGAGGATCGTGGCCACATAGGGAGCTCCACCGAAGGCGCCAGTGGCAGGGTTCGCATGGCGGCCCCTGGCCATTGCGGCACACCCCTCACAAGGATCGTGGCCCCATGGGGAGCTCCACCGAAGGCCCCAGTGGCAGGGTTCGCATGGCGGCCTCGGGCCGTTTCGGCACATCCCTCACGAGGATCGTGGCCCCACAGGAGCTCTACCGAAGGCGCCAGTGGCAGGGTTCGCATGGCGGCCCCTGGCCATTGCGGCACACCCCTACGAGGATCGTGGCCCCATAGTTGTGCTGCTTCAACAACCGCGCCTGGGCGTCGTACTCCGTCTTGTCGATGTGCAACGCCACCTCCTCTTCATGGCTCTCAACGCACTCTCCTGCTTCTGGTCCTCGGTCAGCGGGACGCCGTCCTTGTCGTCGTCGGCGCCCGCGAAGACGGCCACGAACGTGTTCCTGAGCATGTCGGGCTCTGGCGGGAAGCCGTGGCCACGTAGGGAGCGTGGCCACGGCGGGATTCACAACTGCATATGGTTGGGTCCTTTGCCAGGCTATTTCTTTCTTTTCGGAGCAGGTGCAGCCAGCGTCCACGAGAGCGCCCAGGATCGTTTCGCCGTATGTGGATCGCATTGGTAAGCATTCCCCAAGCAGTGCTTGCACCTAGGGATTCTTTTTTCTTTTCCAAGGAACTGGGCCTGACGGCAGGTCTGTCGGCTATGTCGCCGCCGTCGCCGCCCCGACGCCGCCTCGTCGCCGCCCGTCGTCTGGGCTTGACGGCCCGTTTGGAGGGACACCTTTTCGTATAGCAGTTCACATTCGATTCTGCCCCATCGTCCATCCTAAGTATTAATTCTTACCGTCCCAGCCAGGCCGGAAGTCGGCCCCCCTTCATCTTTTGCAGAAAATGCTATGCGCGTGCGCGCTCGTTTATCAAACGTCACTAGTTTCCCAACATCCTTTGCACAAGGAAATGAGACGAAGTGCACGCGCGCGCCGTCGCTCGCAAGGGGTTCAAAAACGAGTGTCCCGAACACATATAAAACAACACGTGGTTTTGCAACCTCAGGTTTCAATCAAAAACCTTGCGCTCGCGGTCTTGCGGAATCATAAGACAACCATCGTGCTTTCAACATGTTCGTCACATTCTGCCAAAAACGGCCTCTCGCGCCGCATGTCGCACTCATTCGAACGTCCTTGCGCGCGTTCGAGGGGGGTACGATCCGTGTCAGATAAGACAACGCAGGCCGCTGGCGCGCGTCGGCCGCGCGCGCATGTCGAATTCCTTCAAAACTTCCATCGCCGACGCGAGGACATCGTCATCGTTGTCGGCGAGCGTGAGCAACATCGGCGCCGTCATTGGCCTTGGCGTCGTCATCGCTGCCATCGTCACCATCCTCGCTACTCTCAGAATCGTGTCAACCGTTGTCGGCGTCGCCATAATACCGCGCCCTCCCAAGTCACCGGCTCGCACTGAAGTGCCCGCTGGGAACTGCCCAGCGGTCAGCGCCACTGCGGCCGCGTCGATCGCGCCAGAGTTGCTGGCCGCTGTGCGCGGGAGCATGCGCGGGCTAGCGCGGCCGTAAAGATGCACCGGCCAACGCCAAACACTTATCGCAATCGCCGCCGCATGGGTTTTGCAAACCAAGTTGCGGGTGGGTGGGTGGGATGTTTGCAAGAGCGTGAAATTTGTCAAGCCGTTGTACAAACAGTTGCGCCACATCGGTTGCACCACGTCGATTGAACCGCACATGTTGTATTACATATATTGCATTGAGTAGTTTGCACCACATTCATTGCACAACATTGATTGCACAACGTATTTTTGCACGACATATTGTGCACCACAAGTGTTCCACCACCACGTGCGCTGTGCAACACATCGTTCACAACATATATTGTTTCACGTCGATTTTTTCACGTGGGTAGCCCCGCTTGGATTGCACAACGTATATACTGCTACTCGCTGCTTTGGGCCCAGTGGCTAACATTGTCAATATCATCGGCTATTCAACAACAACCGTTCGCTTTTGATGCTTCCCCTCCATTTCGTCAGGAATTATCGAATCATCCTCTCGCTGAAAATTTTCGCAGTTTGGTCCAGAATCGTGATCTTACCTGGGATGTATTCACAACTCCTGCCGGCGTCGTGCCCTCGCTGCTTTCGCGCGATTCGCATTTCATATCTATCCAGGCATCGCGCGTCATTGTCCTGCCCGCCGGGCCCGCCCGACAGGGTCCGCCCGCCCGACCCGCCCGCTGGGGCCCGCCCGCCCGGCCCGGTGGTTTAGAATCCGCCGCCCGATCCACACGTTTCTGTTGTGTTTGTGGATGCGATTTACCCTCTGTTGGGCATCCAAATCTCTCTCTCTCTCTCTCTCTCTCTCTTTTCCAAGCATCAAGCGTACCACTCGTCGTCGTGTTCCCCTCCCGTCCCCCGCGTCCCCACCCTCATCCAGTCGACGTCATCTATCTCCGATCTCCCCCCCGATCCCATTTTCCGCCCGGTAGGGCCAGCCGAGACGGTTGCTTGAAATCCATACGTCACCCGTTGCCTGCTTCAATGTCCCGCCCTCCCGGCCCGCCCTACCCGCCAGTTACGGTCCGCCCGCACGGCTTGCTTGTCATCATCTTGTCGGGTTAGCAGGAGGTGGCGTGAACGAAGAAGTCCCCCAAAGGAGACACTTTCAGAAACGAAGACGGAAGGACAAGAGGGCTCGCGATGTACATGATGAATGACACGTGGGAAGCGAAGAGCAAAACATTAGTTACATGTTTGCCGTTGTTGTGTTTTCTTCGTTTTTTTTTTTGGTAGCGTTGAGTGGATGGCTGGATATGTGGACTCATGATCGGGATGTTGATGTTGATGCTGATGCTGAGACTGCTGCTTCTCATGATTATGTTCATGCTGATGTATGTGGGTGATATTGTTGTTGATGATGGTGGTTATCTTGATACTGCGTATGATGATGGTGATGCTGCTGATGCTGATGATGAGGGTAATGCTGATGATGCTGATGCTGATGACGATGCTGATGACGATCGCGATGCTGATGGTGGCGATGATGAAGAGAGGAATATGGGGATGGGGATGATGGTGATGGTGATTATGATTATGATTATGATTATGATGATGATGATGATGATGATGCTGACGATGATGATGGTGACGACGATGAACATGATTAATCATGAGGCTGACGATGATGTTGATGATGGTGATGGTGACGATGATTATGTTGCTGCTGCTGATGATGATGATGATGATGATGATGATGCTGATGATGATGCTGATGATGATGATGCGGCTGATCGCGATGCTGCTGATGACGATGCTGACGGCGGCGATGGTGAGGCTGATGCTGATGATGATGCTGATGCTCATCATGATGCTGATGCTGGTGTTGATGATGAGGATGATGAAAATGCTGATTATGGTGACGATGCCGTTGTTGATGACGATGGTGATGAGGATGGTGGTGCTGGTGGTGGCGGTGGTGATGTGATGATGCTGATGATGATGGTGGTGATGATGTTGATTATATTGTTGATGACGACATCGATGCAGTTGTTGTTGATGATGATGCTGATGCTGATGATGCTGATGATACTGCTGCTGATTATGATGATGCTGATGGTGATGATGGTGATGATGTTGGTGATGATGATGATGATGATGATGATTATTATGATTATGATTATGATGTTGGCAATGATGATATTTTGAGGTGATCATAACGACGACGAAAACGATGACGACTCCGTGGAAGGGGAGGAGGCTAAGGATGAGGAGGATGAGGGTGAGGATGAGGAGGAGGAGGACGACGACGACGACGAGCGGAAGAGGTAGAGGACAACGAGGAGGAGGAGGATGAGGAGGAACGCTAGAGGTAGAGGAGAAAGAGGATGGGAAGGAGGAGGAGGAAGAGGAAGAGGAGGAGGAAGAGGAGGAGGAGGAGGAGGAGGAGAAGGTGGAGGAAGAGGACGAGGAGGAGGAGGATGAGGGGAAGGTGGAGGTTGAGGAGTAGGTTGAGGTTGAGGTTGAGGCTGAGGAGGAGGAGGAGGCGATGGTAGAGGAGCCTCCCTCTGCGCTGCCCTTGCTCCGCTCCCCATGGGGGCCGACCGGGCAGCAGCCGGCGGGGCGGCGCCAGGAAACGTGGACGCGATGGTACCAGTCGGAGGAGCGGCACCGCCAGGGGGGTGCCCTTTCCCCTCCTCCTGCCCTCCCCCTCCTGCCCTCCCCCTACTCCTCCTTCTCCTCTTTGTCCTGCTCTTCTCCTTCCTCCTCCTCCTTCTCCTCATCCTCCTCCTCCTCCTCCTCCTCTCCTCCTCCCTCCTCCCTCGTCCCTCTTCCTCCTCCCCCTCCTCCTTCGCCTCCTCCTCCTCCTCCTTCTCTTAGGCGAGAGGTGCGTATTGGCTGGCTTGCCTCGAAACAGAAACACAGAAAACACGACGTCGGATGCCTGGGCGCGCCGAGTGCGTGACTCGCTTCCGACTCGCCCCGCCGTCAGCAGACCGCTTGCTTGATGCACCTCCCCGCAGCTCGAGCAAATGCTTGGGCGCGCGCAGAATTGGTGTAGAAAGACAGGCGCCCCGAGGTCGTTCGTCGTTCTCGGCCTCCCCCAGGACGCTGCCGGGGTTCCCCGGCGCCGTCAGGAGGAGGAGGAGGAGGAGGAGCATGAAAAAGGAGGAGGAGGAGGAGGAACAGGAGGAGGAGGAGGAGGATGGATGGATGGATGGATGGATGGATGCATGGATGAATGGGTGGATGGATGGAGGGAGGGAGGGAGGAGGAGGAGGAGGGGGGCCGAGGAGGAGGTGGAGGAGGAGGAGGAGCAGGAGGAGGAGGAGGAGAAAACTGCAAGATGAGGAGGACGATCAGGAGGAGGATGAGGAGGAGGGATGGGGATGAGCATGAGTATGAGGAATCGGATGCTGCTGCGACTGATGATGATCATGCTAATGATGATGCTGGTCACGACGATGATGATGATGATGATGATGATGATGATGATGATGGTGATGGTGATGGTGATGGTGATGGTGATGGCGATGGTGATGATGATGATGATGATGATGATGATGATGATGATGATGATGTCTATGATGATGCTGGTGATGATGATTATGATGATGATGATGATGATGATGATTATGGTGATGATGATGCTGCTGCTGATAATGATGATGATGATGCTGCTTTTTATGATCATGATGATCATTGTCATGGCGATGCTGCAGCTGATGATGATGCTGATGAGGATGATGGTGCTGATGCTGCTGCTGCTGATGATGACGATGCTGATGCTGATGGCGATGCTTTCCATGATGATGCTAATTATGATGCTTCTGCTGCCGATTATGCTGGTGATGATGCTGATGCTGGCGATGATGATTATGATGATGCTGATGATGATGGTGATGCTGAGGAGGAGGAGCAGGAGGAGGAGGACGATGAGGAGGGGTGAGAGGGATGCTGATGATGCTGGTGCTGAATCTGATGATGATGATCATGATGAGGATGATGATGATACTTATGAAGATGATGATGGCGATGCTGATGCTGATGCTGATGGTGGTGATGATGGTGATGATGGTGATGTTGATGATGATGACGATGATGATGACGCTGATGATGGCGATACTGATGATGTGAACGATGATGCTGCTGCTGATGACGCTGATGAGGAGGCTTCCGATAGTGATGCTGCCGCTGGGGATGACGATGCTGATGCTTCTGATGCTGACGATGATGCTGATGATGCTGACGATGCTGTTGATGATGATGTTTCTGATAATGATGGTGATGATGATGATGATGGTGAAGATGGTGATGATGATGATGACGATGATGATGACCCTGATGATGGCGATACTGATGCTGTGGATGATGATGCTGGTGATGATGCTGATGAGGATGCTGCCGATAGTGATGCTGCCGCTGAGGATGACGATGATGATGCTTCTGATGCTGATGATGTTGCTGATGATGCTGACGATGCTGTTGATGATGATGTTTTTGATAATGATGATGCTGATGATGATGATGATGATTCTGAGAATGACGGTGATGGTGATTATGATAATGATAATGGTAATGCTGATGATAATGATGATGCTGATGATGATGATACTGATGATTATGATGATGTTGGTACTGTTACCGCTGCTTGTGCTGATGATGATGGCGACGATGATCATGATGATGCTGATGATGCTGACTCAGATGACGATGATGATGATCATGATGATGAGGATAACCATGATTTTGATGATGTTGCTGATGACAGTGATGATGATGGTGATGGTAATGATGATGATTATCATGATGCTGGTGGTCATGATGATGATGCTGATGATGACGATGGTGATGGTGATGGTGACGATGATGCTGATGATGATGACGATGATGATGGTGATGCTGATTATGATGATGATCATGATGATGATGCTGATGATCATGATGGTTGATGCTGATGGTGATGATGATGATTCTGATTATGATTATGATGATGCTGATGATGATTATTGTGGTGATGATGGGTGCTGCTGCTGATGATGATGATGATGCTGCTGATGATGATGATGATGCTGATGATGATGATGATGATGATGATGATGATGATGATGATGACGATAACGATGGTGGTGGTGGTGATGATGATGATGAGTTGGAGGAGGAAGAGGATGAGGAGGAGGACAAGGAGTAAAAGGAGGAGAACGAGCAGGTGTTGGAGGAGGAACAGGAGGAGGAGGATGAGTTACGGATGTTGCGACCATGTCGGTGCCGGTCACTTTAAATGGATCGATGGGACCTGGCTGGCACCGCTTTGCTGTAAGCCTGGGCCAGATTCCTCTCCCGATCTTAGAGAGGTACTCTGTCCGAGCACCCTCGGGTCGATGTCGACATGGACTCCCGAGCTTGGCCAACTGTTGGGCCGAACAGCTTCCACATGTCTCTCAGAACCACGCACCAAGTCCGGGGTGAATCTTAATATGGCATATATGCCCCCCTATGCCCGTGTGAGAGATCATACATGTCACCGTCAATCGTTTGCAGGTAAAACAAGGCGAATCCAGCCAGGTCCGACGAGCTGCCTGGGAGGTCGAATCTCGACACTGCAAACACGCATTACTTTTTTTATTGAGGTGGTGCTGAGTCGAACAGCTGGAGCTTCCTGGGGAGCAGGGGCCTACGACAAGGGTGCCCGACACGGGCCCTCTGAGGCTCCTCGCGGAACAACGCGAGCTCAGCTTCGAGACCCTGCATTGTGCTGACCAAGATGCGCATCCTAACAAGAACACCCCTTCGCTCGACCTGGGCAACTCGAGCTCTGTCACTCTCAGGGTTCCTACATATCTTAGCACCCTCTCCCGCTAAAAGGTCAGCCGCTATGTTGCTGACAACCGGCAACAATATCCTTTGCCTCCTGGTGCGAGTGAACAAACACGACTTTGCACCGGACAGATGGCCGGCGCCTAGTTTCTTGCCCGATCAGGAACCAGAGGTCACTATCTTCACCCTTGTGGTCTTGGGGTCGGCCAGCGTACCAGCCACCGCAGACGTTAGCATTGCCGGTAATGTACACAATCTCACCATCCCCTCCTTGGATGGCTGTGTATAGACCGACAAGGTCACTCCTGGGAATATATTGTTTAGGCTCCAGAAGCCCCCCTCACAGCGCCTTGTGTAGAACCATGTGGTCGGAAAGTTCTGGGTACACTGCCAAGCCTGCACCCACTCTCCTGAGGCGCGGGTCATGAGACTCCTCGCCCCCAATGGCATCCCGGAAAATGGACAGGAACCGTTTTTCCCCACCGAAACCGAGACATCCCTGGGTGAAACATTCCAAACCGAAAGTTCGCCAGTTAGGGAGGTCCTGCGGGGGAGCTCCCCGAACCCAACTGGATGGGACGAGGCCCCTCAGTTGACAACATGGCTCAGACTCGTGCTGAGCTGGGGCCTTCGTCACGCATGTCGTAGATCGTGTGCGCCATTCTGCCCGAGCAAGCTCCGGCAGCGGTGGAAGCTATCTTCGGGGGCTTCCTTGTACTTTGCGCAGGGGAGGAGAAGTGACTGCTTGGTCCGCTTCGATCGTCTTGTACGTGGCCATGCTACTCCAGCTGCCGCTGCCCACATCATATCTGCCAGCCTGGCACCACTAGGCCCGTCACGTAGCTGCTCGACGAGGTCCCGATATGACATGTTACATACGCCACCCTGCATACCCTCGCCGTCGAAGTGCCGCGCTGCTTCCTTTCATTGTCTTGCGATCATCGTGGGGTCAAATTCCTGCAGGAAGCTAGTAGCCACATCCAAATCTCTGACACCTGTGAGCTTCGCCATGTCAAAGTCCTACGCATCGTACCTACTGCCGTCGTCTCCAGGTAGCTGCCAGGTCGCAGGCCCAATAGGATTACGTACTTCCCGCAACGAATAAACGTACTGCTGCAGACTGCGGCTCTGGTGCATGTCGACTCCTCTGTTGAGGCGCCACTGCTGCCATCTCCCGAACCACCTGAGGCCAAGTACGCTCCGCTCCTGCTCGCATTGCTAATTTTAAGTCGGGCCTGTCCCTCTACAGGAGGCATGTTAAACAAGTAGTCAACAAGTAGTCGGGGGACGATTTTTTGAGCATTAGATTTTTGTTGGGGTATTTTTTTGACTATTTTTGACTGTTCGACCAAACTCCGCCTGTAGGGGGACATGCCCGACCTACTGCTAGTTGAGTGGTCCAGCACCCAAGTCATAGCTGCAACCATCCCCTGGACATTTTGGGCGCTGGGCCACGCCCGGGCGAACATATATCCAGGAGGAGGAGTCGGAGGAAAGGGAGGATGAGGGGGAGGAGAAGCAGGGGGATGATGATGATGATGATGATGATGATGATGATGATGATGATGATGATGATGATGAGGAGGAGGAGGAGGAGGAGGAGGGGGAGGAGGAGGGGGAGGAGGGGGAGGAAGAGGAGGAGGAGGAGGAGGAGGAGGAGGAGGAGGAGGAGGGGGAGGAGGGGGAGGAGGAGGAGGAGGAGGGAGAGGAGGAGGGAGGAGGAGGAGGAGGAGGAGGAGGAGGAGGAGGAGGGGGAGGAGGAGGCGGAGGAGGAGTGGTGCAGCACTTGCCAGGCAACCTGGGCGCCTCCGCACCGCGCATGCATCACCTCGTTCGATGCATCCT